ACCACATTAGCCGATAATAAATAGTGAATATTAAATAGTGCATCAAGAGCTCTCCTATCCTGAGGTTATCATGTGAGACGATGAGAACTCCAGTCACCCACGGTAGCCTCTGTTTAGTGGCCAGGCACCGCAAACGGCTGCCACCAAACCAATGTGGCTGTGCTGCGGAGGGCCTGCCCCCTCTGGGGGCTGGTCAAACATGTCCTGGCGCGGTCCTCCGCCATGCTGACGCAGGATGGAAGTGCCCAGCACATCCTGGCAGACCAGCTGTTGGCATCTTAAGCTACCTAGTTTGTTATAAACAACTAGGTTTCTCCCCCGTTGCTGGATCAGAAGTTTTGATTGCTGGCCTAGTACCAAGGCCCAGGCTGCTGGGATGTTTCTCGTTCAGCTCTTTTGGTGTGCTGGGCCGGGGTCAAGGCTTTTGTGAGGGCTCATGGCGGATCTGCCAGGCTCCAGCCAAACCCTAGGCCTCAGTGAGGGGACTGACTCAGGGCATCCCATTTTCCAGGGCTACACTGAAGCCATTCTCCTGTGAGGCTTTTAGCTGAATTATGACTGATGGTCCAGCAGAAGCTTTAAGGCAGAAGACAAAAAAGGAACAGGAGCAGCTTTGAGGCAGCTGAGAGGGACGGCATGTTCTTGAGGCAGCCTGGAGGCTGCAGCCAGCACAGACATGGCAGTGAGGCAGCTCAGAGGCTCGGAAAGGGCAAAAAGTCTGTGGGTAACCCAGAGAGAGATGGCAGGAGGCACCTTTAAACTGAGAGATTTTTAGGTACCGCGTGAGTGAGAGTAAGAAAATGCGTGAAGACGCCTGGGGAGTAAGCAACAGAGCTGGCACAGAAGCACCACACAGCCTGAAGATGGCGGCGAGGCAGAACAGAGGCCCCTCACAGCCCACAGACTGTGGCTGGGGCAGCCTGGAGGCCCTTCACAGCCTGGCGATGGCACCAAGGCAGCATGGATGCAGCGTTCAGAGAAAGCACTGAAGGCTGAAGAGAGGCCAAAGATGGCCTCGGTCAGCCCCGGGCCGGCACTGAGGAGATTTGCACCTCAGGCACCTGCAGCTAGAGCCTCCCACACTGCAGATGGACGGGCAGAGCGCGGTGAGCCTCCTGCTCTCTAGAGACTTCAGAGGGACCTGCCCTGTTTTTGTCCTGCTAAATACACAGCAAATGGTAAGTTGGGGAGTTAACACGGAGAGAAGGGAGGTGGTTAGCAGTCAGAGGCAGTATCCTGTGAGCTGTTCAGAGCAGCCAGAGGGGGTGTGGAGCTGTTGTTATGCTGTTTGGGGATGGGGTCTTGCCTCACAGACATTTTTCATTTACTACTTGTTGGCTTTGCCAGCTTGTTCTGCATTTCCATCTGTACCCTTCAGCTCTTCTTTGCAGTAACAAACTTTGATTCAGTGCTGTCTATGAGGAGCTACAGCAAGGTACTGATACCTCCTGGAGCTCACACTGTATGCCTGTGTGGGCCTACATGGTGTATGGCCACGCACCTATGGGCCATTACTTACGTGGTAACGGCCAGGATCTGAGGAGGCTGGAGAGAAGAATCAGCTGTGGTCTGGGAGCGTTAATTGTATTAGAGCACAATTGTGTTTGAAATTATAAACTTCCTTGAGAGGCAGTCTAAAACCTATTATTCTGAATATCAGGAATTGGCAATTCTAGATTAACATTTCTATATTGTCAGGATCTTTCCAGTATAAAGCTGCCTGAGAATATAGCAGCTGAACACCTCCAGATTCCCGTGAAGTGGTTGCCTCTTCACCTGAGGAAAATAATAGTGACAATGGAGATCTTTTTGGCTTTTAGTGATTGCTGGTGGTGTGTTGTTAAGTGATAAGCTGCATCTGCTGTTCTTCTGTGTTGGGATATGGCACAGAGGAGTGGATGAGATCAGAGGACGTTGTGCCTGCTGTGCACACAGGCAAGGTGGGAAGCTATGTAAAAATAGCAACAGCTATATCTCCTGACCAGCTTCCACCAGCTTACCATGTTTATCTATTAAGACTGAAGTGCTATAGGGTAGCCTTAAAATTGGCTGTGGAGTCAGCTGGTGATTCTGATGTTACAGGGCTGTTACACAGATAGCTAATGGGCCTGAGTATGAGGGCATGCTCCAGACATGGGTTTGTGTTAAACAAGTAAGTTTTGATTTTAACTGTACATCTGCTGAACAGTGCACAAGCTGCAACCTGCTCCTTAGTAGCTCAAGCTGCTGGTTAATGTTCAGAATCCAGTGATGAGAGGGAGTTTCCTGTGTCCAATGAGGCCCAGCTTGAAGCAGGGCAAGGTGCTTTTGCCTTCTCTTTGCAACCTCCATACTCTAGCACATCTTGGCCACCTAGCTGATTCGTTGCATCCCAAAGTGGTTGAAAAATGAGGGAAGTCAAGCAATTCTTTAAAATCAGATGTTTAAAACTACATAAATCAAGCTGCTAAATTTACAATGTAAAACCAAACATGAATTTGGCACACACTTCAGCCATGCTGTAGGTAGAATCTGTAGTCACTGCTGGGTTCTCATTTCTTTTTGACCCTGAACATCACCCTGTGGAAATATTCATTTTGTTTTACTTCCATACCAACCAAAATGTTAGGCCTATGGGAATGTGATCTTTAAAGCTGTCTGGAAGAGCAATTGATTTTTTTTTTTTGTTTGAAATACAAAAGTGACTTGTAGTACAATTTTGGGATGGGATCTTTAGAGCTTCTCTGGAATTCTGATAGCATAGCTAGGATCAGAGTTTTTGAGCCAAAACTGGTTTTGTGTCCTTTTCCCTCCCCTACCCCCTCCAAGTAAGCTTGGGAAACAAAGATCAACATTTGACTTCAGAATGTGGAAAAAAAAAAAGAAAAATTGATTCTTAAGAATTTCTCTCTGTGAGTATGGGGGGACTGGTCTTTCCCCTTCCCCACTTTCTCATTTAATTATGGACAAAGTTCTGTATTCAGTGAAGTCAAAATATAACTAAGACCATGTGTTTAGATAACTTAAGGGCACACAGCTACAATTACCTTGACACATGGGTGAATAACTCCTCTAATGTGATCACACCAAATGCTTGTTTGGTGCTTTCTTTCACTTGATTAAGAGAAGTTGTGCAAAATGTCGTAAGCTTAGGAGACATGAAAAAAACCAAGGAAAGAATACAGGGGCTTCTGAAAAGAGGAAGACATAACGATGCCTGTAAGATGACAGAAGCCAGTGGGGAATGGTAAAGTGAGAGGACTGCCACGGGAAGCTTGAGAGGTTAATGGCATGCAGCTATGGATGAATGGAGTTTGCATGGACCCAGATCTCGGATCTGATCTAATTGCAGCCCAGTTCTAAAGGAAAAGGCTGTAAATCAGTCCAGGGTTTCTGGTGAATCGTGCTTTGTGCTCATGGTTTTTGATGTAACCAGAAGTTCTTGATGGAATTACAACTGCCTTGCTCACACTCACCTGCTATTTGCTCTGTATTAAGTTAACAATAGTAAATAAACTGTGTATTAGATTTCAAGCTGATCTGTTCATGCCGAATTAATTCGTCTTGCCAAGGCTTCCCTAATTTGAAACATACGTATCCATTTAAATCCTGTTGCTTCCATACATTAAGCTACTGTTTAGATTTTTGCCTCATCAATATTCTTCACCATTTTGAACAGATGTGTAGTTTGCCGTGGGTTTGGATCAAAGTGTTCTCTGATTTTTGTGTGTGTGTGTGTGTGTGTCTAAGGTGGTGGAGGAGTAGAAGTGAGATGGACTATGGTGGCATTGTACAGCACTTACCCCTATTACCTGAAACCAACAGAATACACTTTGTCTGTTCTTGTAAAGGCAAAACCTTCATTAGAATCAAAGGAAGTTTACTTTAATTGCAGGAAAGATGGGGTCCTTGTTTAGTGAAAATACAACTGAAGTCAGGAGAACTATTGTATGATCATATATTTCCCATACAGTCATATAAGTCTCGTAGAATACAGATAGAAGTTTTCAGGTTTTCCCAGACTTCTAAGGGGGGGAAATAATTTTGTATGTGAAATAGAGTTTCTGCTAAGAAGAAATTTTCAAAAAATCAGAGCCTAATATGAGACTCCAAAGAACATATCGAGGCCTCTAAATAAGCAGCCTGGGCTTTTCGCAAGAGCTGAGCTCTGCCAACCCCCACTGCTCTTAGGATACAGCTTCTAAGGCTGAACATCTTTTGGCTGCGTGTTCTTGCAAAGAAATACTAAGAATATGCAGTAGGTCAAAGTGGTTCCTTATCTTTGTCCGGAGATAAGGGCTGCCGTTCCTCCTAGGAAACAGTGTCTTAGAAGCGGAAGGCTGCACTTCTTATCATTCAAGTATGTGCCATAAAGGGGTAAAAATAGGGACATCGAGGATAAGAAAGCTGAAACCAAGGCACCTGCTACCCACAGAAGGAAACTTGGGAATGAAGTAAGACTGAGAATCTCTTCTGTTTTGAATACTGCAAATCTTCACTTACAGGAGTAAATAATTTGCCTGTAAAAGCTGCTGAGATTACTGATAGGACAAAAGGTTTGCAGGATTTAGATTCCTGACTTTACCATGCAGACCAAATTCCGTTTACTGAGTTTTACAGAAGTTGAAAATGTCAGAGTTGGCTGAGAGAATTAGATTTCAATACCTATTAAACATCTACAGGACATCCTAACTCCCCGTTGAAATTCCTTTAGTTTGTGACCTAAGAAGAATCAATTAAACAGAAAAGTTGATTGTTGCCAAATAATGCATAGTTCATTCAATCTCACAATATTTTAATCCAGTATTCGCTTTGCCATGATATATAATGCAGGCTATTTACAACGATTGCCATTCTTTAAATGCCAGTTTTCCTTTAAAACAAGCAGCAACAACAACAACCAGACCCATACCCTGCTCCAAACCTTGTTTGCAAGGATTTTCATTTGCATCACTAATGTACAGATTTACACAGAGCAGAAAAAGGGTGTATTCTTATTCATACAGATTCTGCCTTGTATACTACCTGCAGCCACATTCTGCCACTTTCATCCCTTCGTAGTTATATATCAAAGTGGGCACACCAGCATCATCCTTATAAAGAATGGAGATTGAATCCAATTTGGTTGGAACACAACAGGCCTTGGAAGCTTTCTTTGGGTTTTGGAGATGCACCAGAGTTTGGACAATAGCATGTTTTGTTGGGGTAACGTTATCTGTCAGAGGGAAGAAGCAACCTCCTTTACACTCAAAAGCCTCATAATCTTTTGGTGCAATGATCCAGGAATCCCAGCCAATCTCTTCAAAGTTCACATGGAGGGAAGTTCTCCGGCAGTGGTTGGCTCCGATGCTTCTCTTGCTTCTGGAGGAATGCTGGTGGTGCCCAGTGATGGCCTTTTCCTCTCCCTGTTCTTCCTCTTCAGACGAAGTGGTGTTTCCTAATTTCTTTAGCACACTTTCTTGTTCATGGACAATCATCTCCCGGAGCTCCACTTTGGTCTCTTTTGTCCTATTGCTGCGGTCATTGGAGAACACTATTAACAGGGGCAGATTTTTAGTGTCAGGGGTAACACTGATATCCAGCTTCCCACAGGTGAAACCACCCAGAGCCTTACTCTCTGTAACAACCTCTAGCTTGTTTTTTGTCTTCAGTTTGTCTGCCTTGACCCATCTTTTCACAGCGCTGGACACTTCAAACATCTTCCAACCACACTCCTGGATATTGTGGGAGACAAGGAAAGATTTGGTACTTTCTGGGTTTTCCCAGTGGTCACCATCTAGAACATCATAAATGACCATGTTGCCTTCCAGCCTAGAGAGAGACCCAACTTCCCTGTGACAGGAGATATAAATTCTCAGTTCAGCTCTGGTGATTTCCTCATATCGTGGAATAGAGATATTGAAGAGCAAGATGTGTTTCTGAAATTGATTTTCTTCTGGTGAAGCTAAAGAAACAACATCTGCAATAGGAAATTAAAACACATGGTTACAGTACTTTTGACTGTCAGAGTAACTTGCTTTTAAAAGACTCAGGATGTATTTTGGGCATAAAATAAGAGCATGACTACCCAGCATTAAAGAAACCCAACTAAACAAAACAAAACTAAAAAACCATCTTCTGGCCAAATATCAAGGGCAGGGAGTGAAAAGTGAAAATGGAGGTTGCTAGTGTTGGTAGTATTTTCACCCAGATTGCATGGTCAGGTGAGTGTGTGGAGGGGAGTGTAAAGAGTCTGCCTAGGACAAGCTGTGGATGATTCTGGTCGGTATTAAGCACATAAATAAGGCATCTGGGGAGTGTTCAGGTTTAGCAATTTCCTAAAGAGATTTTTACACAAAGAATTCCTAAAAAACCCTATGAATTTGCTACTCTTATCATGCAATGGGATGAACTGCCTTCTTAACACAGAGAAGTATACTACATATTTAAGTGTCTCTAAGAACTAGATGTGCTTGAGGCTTTTGTTGTTTTCTTCAAATAACTTCAAAAGCAGCTTGGATTACTGGGAGTTTGGGGAAATAGAAAAGTATTTGAAAATCCTGAACTGAAGCTTCAGGGTCTGTCTAAACTGGGCCTTGGTGATAAACAGCCTTTCATGCCCAGGTCCCAGTCTGTTCCAGGCTGGACTCACTGAGTCTGTGGGGGTTTTGTTTGTCTTTTTTTTTTTTTTTTTCCTGCAAAGGTATGTGCAGTACCAAAAACTCTGCCTTGGGAAGGGCAGATATTTGGCTGGAAGTTCAGATTGGTAGTGTATAAAAGTCAACACTGACTGATGTCTATTTGATGGTCAATATAAGATCATCAGATTATAGGACTCAATCATGACTGGGCTTTAGGACAATTTTACTTGGCTAATGTCATTTCACAGTGTTCACCCACTAAAGCAGTCAGAGAGGAAACGTGGAAACTATAATGTAGCTCATACTGTTACGGTTTCTTTCCATTTCAGGACGAGGGGCACTCATTTTGGAATTTTGAGTTCCCTGTAGTCCTGTTACATGTGCATGTCTATTTTTCATATAAACAGAAGCTTCGATTCTCCCTGTCTCATTTTTATCACAAGGATTGCATTTACTTCTAACTTTTTTATTGCTTCTTTTGATGCAGCTTTTAGAAGTCTATGTAATGTTACACAGACAGGGATCTTGAATTTTTTTGAGTTGCGACAAGCTTGACTCCCCATTTCCAAATAATGTTTTCCATCTAAACTAGAATTTTGGGGGAGCACTGCTGTTCCTTGCTTGGATCCAGAGACACATTTCTCAGTTGGCTGCTGTGATTTTTAAGTATGAGAAGAGCCCATGTGAAGGAAGAGCTCTCTAGCATGGACGTCTCAATTATAGATGGTCAAAAGTTTGCATTCTAACATTAGAACTCCATCCCGAATCTCTAGATTTGAAAAACATGATTCATGTGAACCCTGTTATTCAGTGCATCATCTCAGTTGATGTCTTTGAGAAGAGAATATTTTACAGTAAAAATATCAAAGAAGAAAACTAAAGTTAATTATATGATTTTAAAAGTTGAAGGAAACTACAGAGCAAGACTACAATACAAAATTTTAATCTGTTTAGTTTCTAAAGAATCTGTGGAAGTTAGGCACTCAATTCCCTCTGAATTTCAAAAGAATTTGAGTACCTACTGTCCATGTACTTCTTTAAAAATTTTAGTCCACATATTTAGGACTTCTCCTACCTTCAGTACTGAAGCTCCTTACAATATTTGATGCAGGGATGGAGGACTTGTCTGCAGCATATCTGTTGTATAAATCAATCATGAACTGTGGTGGTTCTTCTTTGGTCTTCACTTGTGAGGGGACTCTTGACAAATTCAAACTCCTTAGTAAATCTGTCTTCATATTCTGCAGGAAAGATTTTAAGTTGAAATGAGTCTCATCTTCCACTTCCCCAGGATCATGAAAGTGTGCATCAGACTTTCCCATAGCTGATAACTTGTCCCAATCTTCCAAAGGCTTGCCTCTTGTCAGACAGGCAATGATGTTGAAAACAGACAGTGCAGCTAATACTCCAAAATAATGCATTTTGTCTACATTTACTTTTCTGATGGAGAAACAAAAGAACAATGGTATTGTAGCTGATTAAAAATGTTTTTTCATTACAGACAGAGGAAAGGAGATGGAAGGCAAACAACTAGAATGCCCTTTTACAAACCACTTTCTTGTGTTCTTTTTGCAGTCTGCTTCAAACCCCAGCCTCTTGTCAGTTGTCAAGCAGATTGGTTGTACACTTGCCCTTATCAGAGTCATTGATGCCATGCTTCAGCTTCTGTTATCTAGCAAAGCTCTTAGTTAATGAAGATTCTATAAACATCTGACAAACACATGTGGCTGGTGGGAAGGACATTGTATATTGTAAAGAATCCGCATTTCACTTTAGGGTCATCATTGCTTAATTACGCTCTTCTATCATTTCCTTGCCAACACAGAGAGACGCTTTCTTAGGGACGTAGAAGATTACACTGTTTTCATCAAGACTATAAAATAGAGATTTAGAACAAAGTTACTTTATTAGCTATGAGTAAATAACATCTCAAAAATCTTTATTACAGTCCCTTCGCATGCCATCAGAAAATCCCCAATTGGTTGATGGAGACCTGTGATTCTGCAAGACATGGTCTCATGACAATACAAACAACCTTAAAACTTCTTTCCGTTTATCAGCCAAGAGCTATTGTTTGTACACAGTGAAATATCTGTTTTGTGTCAAGTTTGCTTCATGTTGTTTGCAGCCTTGTCCATTTTCAGTTTGATTCCTTTGGTGTATGGGAATTTAGTCTTGTTTTTATAGTATCTTATGTAATATATTTCTTAGTTTTTTGATGGTCAATCCAGTCCAAGAACAACCAGTCATTATTTCAGTGACCTTCAGATGAAGATAGAACTAGACTTTCTATGGCCACATAGAAAGTAAGAGGTCTCTGTGAAGATACAGATGATTATCTATGAGGATACCGCTATCCATGAGAAGAATAGGCCAAGGCAGAAATACAAGACTGATTATAGAATTTCTCATGATACAGAAAAAAACCCCTAGTTTATTTATAGACAAAAATAGCACTTGCTATTTATCTTAATGAACGTCTTATGATTTAATATAATGATACATAAGTGTTTTATCTGTACTATTAATGTATCATTTTTTCTAACCACAACTCAATCCATACTGTACATGTGCCATAACGACTGAACAGTATTATGAGCTGTTACATAAAAAAAACATTGCAAAGATGCGGACAAGATTTTGTCCTGTTTGGCCGTTCTTCTCCAGCTTTCTAGCAGTGCATACACAGTGTTTAAAGTAAGCCCAGACTTCTCAAATACTCACTTAAGTGTCTGTTCAAGTGACAACTGGGATCCAAGATTCTGGTTAATTATGCTCCTATGGTGTAAAGTCAGAAAGGAGTATTTGGCATTGATCCTGGCCTCCTGCATAGCAAGACTGTTATGTTTTACTCAAGGCCTTTGTGTTTCCTACCTGTGTGCAGAGCCCAATTACTTGTGTTTGGTTAAACTATAACTTTTTAAGGGTCTCCAGAACTTATCTGAAGATGTCAAAGAATCAAAGAGTTCTTCAATTCTTGTAGCACTTACTCTAAGAGATTGTCACTTACACTTAAAAAGCCATGGTGCTTCATTCATTATTTCATTGTGCCTGGCTTCACCTTCTAGACATGAGTTCTTGTAACGTTCCAGCTGGCTGGAGGAGTCCCATAGCTCTGGCATTTTCTGTCTGTCAAAGTACTTGTACAGTGTAATCAAGTTACTTCTCAGTTTGCTTTTGGATAAAATAAACAGATTGTGCTTTTTAGTCAATGTTATAAGACATTTTCTCTAACTGTTTTTGTTTCTTTTTCATGTATCTCAGAATTTGAATGTTTTTTTGAAAAGGTAAGCGCTGGGGCTATGCATAGTTTCTAGTGGCAGTCCACCAGTGCCACATGCAGAAATAAAATCCCCTTTCCTTATGTGGTTCACTACTCCAGTGTGCACCTTTTCAAAGCTTTCATTAGCTCTCTTTATATAGTATCACCCTGGATGCTCATACTGTGCCATAAGTCCGTGATACCTACCAAAATTGTTTTAAGAGTTATGGCTTTCAAGGGTGCAGTCTTTTACTCAGTGGCATTTGCCTCTATTCCTTGTGCCTAGGTACTAAGTTCTGCATTTGTCTACCTTAAGATGAATTTTGATTACATAAAGTGCAGCTAGACCAAATGATCTATATAAATATCTCTCTCCTAAACACTGTCTTCTGCAAATGCTATGGGGGTTGTTACATAAAGATGTCAAATAGCGTCAGGCCCAGTGTCAGCTTTGCAGGAACTTTACAATGAACAGCTTAATTCAGCGGCAATTCCTTTTGAAAGCTGCTCTTTGAGGTTGGCAGTGAGACAGTTGTTAATTCATGTGATACACAAATATATTAATATTGTCCAGTGGTTTCTTTTAATTACACAGCCTTGTGCAAGTGAATTGAAACACTCCACAAAAACTTAGATACAATCTGGCTGTTACTGTTACCTCTGGCAATTAAACCATGGTCTCAAAGAATGAAATTGGATTTGGTTAGAAAAAATGTACTTAACATTTTTCTGGCTGGTATCAGCTGTTTTCCTGTTTTATCTGTCTTTAACCATCCTATACTAATATACCCTCAATTCTTTTAGGATTGGTTAGTGGAATTATCTTGATCTGCTATTTTAAGTGTTTGTCAATAGTAACTTTTTCTAGAAACTTAAAACAGTGAGTGGAACGGTTTATAGGATGTTTGTAGAAATCAAACGATCTGTTGGAACCAAGAGAGTGAGGGTGTTAGTGTCTTCCAACAGTAGCTGACTGCATTTGTGCCATTTCAAATGCAAAGTTTCCTTTTCTAGAGGAAGATTAGACATCCAAATACCAAAGACCCAGACAGCAGTAGCCACTTCTAGACAAATAGTGGTTTAAGACCTTGCATTAGAGAATTGATTGGTACAGCTAAACTCCAAATGAAATAAACTTTACTAGTAAGAGAATTGTATTGTTTGTGTAGTAAGGGAATGCCATGAGAGCTATGCCACTTACGGATATAGTTTTGTTTTGCACGTGCTAAATAATATAGGTATGCCAACAAACCTTTAAATGCAGACTAAACTTTTCAGGGTGTTATAGGTATCCTAATGAATGTAGGAGTAGCATTTTCCCTTATGTCCTATAGACCTTGTAACAGATGGTATTTCTTTCCTAATTGCTTGCATCAGCGCATCTTGGAAAGAAAGTTTGTACCCAAAAGCTGATTCAAGATATAGAAAACGTTCCTTAAGGAAAACAAAATGCAGTAGATGAGAACACAAGCACACTAGGCTAATATGTTCATTCTGTTCAGAGCTGGTGCTAAATGGGAGCAAGACTAGACCTACAGAAAAGGGTAGATTTTCACAGAGAATATAAATGACAATGATTTAAGATACTTTGAAAAGTTTTATGCTTATGGCTGTTCCATAGGAATAAATGATGAATTTCTAAGAACTTTTTAGTTTTTCTTTATGCATTAGCAACGGTAATTGAGTTTCTCATGATTAATAAAAACACAAGTCCCTACATTTTTAAGGGAGATCTTTAACAGCAACAGTATACAAAGGTTTGTCCCAGTAGTTCCAGTGTAAATCACTGTAGTACTTTGGGAGAAGAAGAAATGCCTAGCTGGATCCATGATCTTTTGGCCATTGTAACTGGCAGTCACTACAAGGTGCCTTAGAACTATCTACTTCTTATTGAGAGCTGTTTGGGAGGAATTGCCAAGAACTGCTGTAAGAGTAACCTTGCAGACACTCCCATACACACCGAATCTTGTTTTTCTGTAGCCTAGCAGGAAGTACCACATTTACACACCTTTGTTGTCTGGGAATCTGCACCACATTAATAGGGAATATTGGTGGCAGAAGTTACCTAGCACCATAGCAGGACAGGAGCCTTCCAGTCATTCATTCATCAGAAGGTAGGGTGTGTAGTATACCTCCCCTAAATAATACAACTCTAAATAGGATAAGGTAAAGCAGAAGGTTAGACTGTCTCTTGAGGAGGAAACACTCCATATCTTGCACTCTGTGCTACCTCACAGACTTCAGAAGTTTATTCTGCTCCTGGTCTGCCTATGCTATTGCACAGCAGGTGGGTGAAAATGGAATATGTGGCAAATGTGTCCTGGCATGCAGGGACACTGAGAAAGAGAGTTCACAGGCACAATGATGGAACGTCAGCTCTTAAAGGAGTGCTGCAGTTACAAGGGCTACCATGAATGTATCAAGAGAGGATTGTACAGGAGTTAGAGGGACGCAGAGACTTTATAAAGACTTCTAATGGAACCACTGCCAAATATCGTGTCCCATTTTGATGTTCATTTTTGGAAAAGAAAGTTAATGAAAGTTCTGGAAAGTGTTCAGAAAAGAACTGTGAGAAATTCTTTTGAGGCTTAGAATAAGAAATCAAAGTACGTATTTAAATCTTAGCCAAAATGTAATTTGACCCTGCTCTCTATACTAAAAATACACAGTGAAAGTATTTTGGATAATAGATAAAAGGGATCTAATAAAATAGGTTACAGTAAGATCCAGTGAATTGAAGCTAAAGCTCAACAAATTCAGATTAGGATTAAGACACTGCGTTTGAACAAAGAGCACTAACTTTCAGAACAACTATTTGTAGTCCAGTAGAGATATCCTATCACATAAAATCTCTAAAGCCAAATTTATGCATGTTTTTCAAAGACATTCCCAAGCTCAAAACAGAAGTTCCATAATGCATGGTGCAGAAACTACTGGGCAAGGTTCTTTGATCTATGCTATGCAGGAGGTCGGTCTGGATGATCATAGTATCCCCTTCTGTCTTTAATCTATTGAGGTGCATTATGACAAGCTTAACATGTATTTACATGTTTCCATCTAATTAACAGAATGTAACAGAGTGCATTTCTAGAAAGACAATTCAACTGTTTTTAGATACTACTGTACCTTTAATTTATTAGCTTTTGTTAAAAGCATGTAACAATCTAGAGGATATAAAGTATAATTTACAAAAATATAAATCTTGGTTATTTTATTTTTAGTATTCCAACTTATTACTGTATAGTATGTGTTACTCAGAGAATACGCTTAACAACCTGAAATTATCCAGCAAACCAAAAATGTGGGACATTACAGATGTCTTTCGTCGAACAAATTATATATTAGGGAAGGGTAACCAAAAATGGCTATATTAACATACTGTTTATATGAAAGCTTATGCAGTGCACTATACTTGCATCCTGAAGAAAATATACATTTTAAGCCCTTTATTACAGCATTCTTTAGTATAAATATGCAGATTAAGAGTATGAGTGTTTTAGGCAGAAAGTTTTGATTTGTGTACAAAAGTGATATTCTAAAATAAGCCTGCCTTTGCAAGTTCACTTCCTGTCTTCTTGGTTAACTGAAGAGGTAAAATAGTCAGAGAAATAGCATATAAAAACATATTTTAGTCCTTTGATTATGGAAAACTTTACGCTTGCTTAAATTTCTCACTAAACACCAGGTGTCTTGGCTAGGTGGGTTAGGAAGATATTTGTAAAATTATTGAATTCTTGGAAGATGAATATGAAAGACAAATGATGACAGGAAGACGTATTCTTCCAGGTGAGCATGTGCATCATTTTAGTCTCTCCGCATGCTTTCTGTAGAGGAATTGTAGGCTTGCATTCATTCATCAACACAAGTGGATTCATTTCCCATTTACAACTTCCCCAGTGTAGTCGGGCAGGATGCGTGGGTCTCATTAAAGATGTGTTTGTATGAATTTATCGGCAGGCACAAGTTTCAACCGACATATTGGGATATACCTTTAAAACAACGTTTTTGTTCTCATCTAAGAACAGGACACTGAGTGAGCTCATTTTGTCAGGAACACAACAGGGTTCTGGGATGCCAGGAATGATTCCTACTGCTTTTACAATGCTCTGGATTGTAGCATGATTTGATGGCCGGACAATCTGGAACAGAAAAGGAAATAGTTATCACTTCATCTATGAGCAGTCACTTTCCCAGATGGGCTTGAAAATGACAACAATTACATTTTTTTTGTTTCTCAAAAAAGTGAATATATGTGATTGAGTCGCAGGGCCATGCAGCATAGTCTGTCCCTCACACTTCCAGCCTTCCTGCGCAGGGTGTATCCAACAGATACTTTGTGTTCCTTTTGCTGCCTTCATAAATACCAGAGGAGGGCACTGGTGGCACAGCCAGCAGTCAGTAGCCTGAAGAAAGAATGGCCCTGAATGCACCTACTAGATGCTGGAAGCAGACGTGCAGGAGAAAAGGACTTCGGTGGGGCACACTTCTCGGTCATAAGATGTTATCTTTTGTTTTCTTAACCTCTTGTCTGACTTGGAAAATTGGCTGCTCTAAGTATTTTCAAAATAACTATCCCTATGTTCCAGTAGTATTTCTCCTCATGTACGCTAACCTGGAATTAGTTACTTTTTCCTGGAATAATTACTCTCTTTTAAAAAAGACCAGAGTGCTCCCCAAGTAGTGTCCACAGGGGGGAGTCAGTCTAGAATAGTCCAACAACCTGACAGAGCCTTTCTGATCATAACCGCGTGACAAATAAGTACTTCGTACCTGTAGTCTTTGTCTGCCTCCCTCTGCCTTCCTCACCAGGCTTCCCCCCCACCTCTGAGTTAGCCTCAAAGTGGGAGAAGAAAACAAAAGGCTCAAAGGGCAGGAAAAGTATGAAGTGAGGTTTCACAGCAGCTTTATACTGTTCAGAGTACTGTGCCACAATTTTATTTCTAGTATTGATTTTTGGATGCAGTAAACTGCAAGGAAAAATATTTGAGGACACAGCCATTAGGCGTAACAGCAGTGAGAATAATAAAGTGAGAAAGTTAAGATATGTAAACAGTATACTGCTTAGTAGTTAACTGTAACTCTTCTTTTTAGCCTTTATTCACAAGCTACGCTTGACCCTTGTAGTCTGAGCAACTGAATACTACTAAACATTTCACCACTTCCATTGCTTGAGGTACATACAGTCAAGCACAGGTTTACCAGTGAGAGAGTGAAAGCCTTTCTTTGCCGTTGCCTCAGCATAGCATGGAATGCATGTGCCCCAGTTACACGAGGCAATAGTGTGGCATGCAATCCACCACTGAGGCTGAAGCTTCGGTGACTCCTGTTCAGTGGACATGCTTGAATACTGTCCCAGCAAATGAGTACAGTAACAGTAGGAAAACTGTGTTAGTCATATCAGGCTTTTTTTCTGCAGTTTCATGAGTTTTCTGCACAGATCTGGTATACGTGGCACATGAAATCTTTCATCACTAGTGGTACGTAGCTGTATATCAGGTTGAAAATGACATTTGTGGGACAACAAATAGGGACTTTGCATACCTCCACATGGAAGCAGATAGTTCAAGTGAGAAGAATTACTATCTTATATCTTCTCTACTTTTCAAGTAATAATTGAGTATATGCAAAACATGATTTTTTATTTCAACATGAAAAGTTATGTAGTCCGTGGGTATAACAAAGGAGCTATTTTTTAGGATAATTCAGTTTTAATACATTTGCTCTAAGTGTTACGTATCAGCAAATGAGGCCCAAACCTTAATTGCTATTAAGGCTTTCAGGTGTTTCTTAACTAAAGCAATCTCCTTTGAGTCATTACCAGGAGGAACTGTGAAATCTGTCCTTGATCCTTCAGGGCTTCAAGACAGCATCCCTATAGCCAAGTCCCGACAAGTGACCAATCCTGGAAAGCGCTTTCTGTAATTAGCATATGTTGGCATAATTAGCAACAGCTTGCTCTCTCATGCCACCCTTCATCTTTAGATTTCAAAGCTGTCCACAAACAAGCAGCAGTGAATTAGTTTCACAGCTTCTATATGAAGTAGAAATAAGCTTCTACCCGCATTGGCCATGTCAGTAAATCTGGACAGCAAGAGAGAGACAGGAGTAGTTTTTGTGTGTTTAAGCAACTGCAGAGTTTGGAAGTTCAAAGAACTAGGGCTTCTAGAATCAAGTTCTTAACTTTAACCTTTATGAAAAACCTCCTGTTATTTGAAACGGTCTCAGATCCTAATGTGCTACTGAAACAGAATTTGTTGACCCCATGCAGCGGGTAGCAATCATTGCTCTCAGTGCCAGTTACTGATTTACAGGATTCCTGGGTATGAACCTGCATAAGATTCTACTAGGATCTTCTCCAGCTGTGCAGTGTCTAATATCTGCAAGGAACAAATGTATGTGGGCAAAGTCTAGTGTGAGCAGCTGTCTACACAGACAACAGCACTAATTAGGTTTCTAATGCCTGCAAGTGTATACACTATGCACAAAAAATGCTTATAGAGGAAAATGCATATTATGGACTATTACTGTGTACAGAATCTGGCTGCCTGAGCCCTAAATCCACAGCAGAGCCAGACAGCACACCCATCCCACATCCAGCCAGGCTCCAAATTTTCCAGCCCTTCTGGAAACCTGGCATGAGTGTTCAGTGATCATGGACTAGGCTTCACATTAGTGTTTGTACCAACATACTACAGTGGAAAGCTTGAAATAACGAGTTGAATGCCCAGTAATGATGGCACTGAGGAAGTGCTAATGTTTTAAACACTGGCTACTAAGTTATATACAGCAGGCCAGGTTCTGCTCTTACTTAACCTCTGGGACCATCCTAGCTGAGGAATATTTTGGGCCTCAGGAAATAGAAGTATGGTAATGTAGCCAAAAAGCAGATGAACAGCGGGTTTGAAATACTTTAGACCCTCCCCTTCTGCCTGGCTTACACCCCTTTTAAAGTCTGTTTTATCATTAATTTGCCCCTCAAAAAACTTCACAACCCTTCCATCTTAATAAGTAACATTTCTTAGTTTCAGGAAAGTTTTGGTTTCAAATTTGAATTCAACTCTTAAAATAAAACTCATGAACTGATACACTTACAAGGATGAAATCAAAAGAATTCTAATTATGGTAGACCAGGGAAAAGATATGTTCCCACCTACTTCTACCACATGTAGGACTAGCATTTATTTGGCAAATGCAGCAGTGCAGCCAGCCATTATTAACTATATAAGCTAATCTTCCCCCTCACAGTTCAGGGAATAAGAATTTCAGCATTAAGATAGGTGAACTTGCTATGACAAGATTTGTACCAGAGCTGTTTTGTATCTAGATCAAGAATTGCAGTTACTAAAATAGATGTGCAGGGTGGTGTAGCGATACTTTAAAAAAAAAAAAAAGATGCAATGTGATGATTCTCAACATGCCAGGTATAGAAGTATAATTCTATCTCTACAGTTCTAAAAGAGTACCTTGGAAATAAGCTATCTGTTGTCCATCACAGGCTGACCATGTAGACCAAGACTTCATGAATAGCCTTAATCTGGCCTTTGACTGAGCAGTGCCAAGATCATATGCATGCTTTCCTGACTTAGGGCATATATGCAAGAAGAAAAGCTATTTCTCCTTCCATAATTTTTAGCAATTCTATGCTCTGACCTGAAGCTTTGTTCATGCTGATGTCCATGTTATCTCTGTTCATGTGGAAACAGTCATTTAAAAAAGTTACAGCTGTGAATTTGCCTCCATTTTTTCCCCTCTTAAAAATACAAAGCTAACAGAAACTAGACATCTTCCAAATGAAACCAAATCAAAGAGTGTGTCAAACTAAAAATCCCCAAATCTATGGATCTGTGATTTAGTTTTAAATTTCTCTGGGGTTTTATTTCTCTGGGTTTTTTTGGGGGGGGAGAGATGGGGGGCAATCGGGTTGGCACCAAGGTGCTAGTGTAGCCACATTAATTTATCTAGAAAACAAGTGTCAAAATGAGAACTGAAGTAAGTGGTTTTGATTTACAAGGGAATCTTTATTATAAGGCAAGTAATATTTCTAAAGACATTAAATGTCAGGAATATAAGCTTATTTAACTATTCCAGCTAGAAACGGATCCACTCTTTTGGTTCTGTCAGCTTTTGTGTCATGCTGTTTTGCTCACAAGAAGCCAGATGCGTTAAATATATATATATTTTTTTTTTTTGCTTTAGTATGTATAAATGGTACATTAGACTGTGGCTCTATGGCAGAGGACTTCTATTCCCAGGCTTTGTTTTGCTTTGGAGAAGTTAAATGGTAATTGTGTTGCATGATCTCTTTATGCTACAACAAAAAAATGAAGTTGTATGTGAGCCTGTGCAAGCTTTAATTTATACCAGACCATGTATTGATTTGTGCATACATGGTTCAGCATCGGTCAGCTACACAAGAACATAGAATCATAGAATCATAGAATCATAGAATGTTTTGGGTTGGAAGGGACCCCTAGAGGTCATCTAGTCCAACCCCCCTGCAGGAGCAGGGACACCGCTAACTAGATCAGGCTGCTCAGAGCCCCGTCCAACCTGGTCTTGAATGTTTCCAGGGATGGGGCCTCCACCACCTCTCTGGGCAACCTGTTCCAGTGTTTCACCACCCTCATTGTAAAGAACTTCTTCCTTATATCTAGTCTAGCCCCCTTTAGGTACTGAAAGGCTGTAATCAGGTGTCCCTGCAGCCTTCTCTTCTCCAGGCTGAACTATTTCAACTCTCTCAGCCTGTCCTCACAGGAGAGGGGTTCCAGCCCTCGGATCATTTTTGTGGCCCTCCTCTGGACCCGTTCCAGCAGTTCTATGTCCTTCTTGTGCTGAGGGCTCCAGAGCTGGACGCAGTACTCCAGGTGATCAGATCTGTACACCCTACCATGATGTCTGGATTTCCACTGTTCCTGGACTTAAACTAGCCTGGATATCTACTCTTCCTGAAATCATACTATTTATTTCAACACAAACATACATCAATCTCCCTGTATATAAAGCAGGGCAGATTCCTATCTCAGAGCTTTGAAATTCTCTGCTGTAAAAACCTATCCATCATTTATGTGCCAAGTGACCACATGCAAAAATGTCAGTAGAATAAATAATCAGGCCATTTGTAGGTAGAATTGCAAGAGAATTACAGTTTCTAAACATGCAGGTTATGCAGTGCTTCAAATCCTCCACTCACCCATTACTTGAAAGCCCTATAAAATGCTGGTAATTTTCATGCTACATAGGATTGCCAAAATTTCTACTTCTTGCGATAGAACAAGTGAGTGGGCCAAATCAAAATTCCATTGGAGCAGTTCATGTTTTTCCTCTCTTTAAGCAAATTTCACACTGCTTCTGTAGGAGGAATTCAGTACGCTAGTTTTAGAATGTTACAGACAGCTGTGTGGCATTTCCAGCCACATAAGGTATATCAACTTTTTTTTGTTCTAGCAGGATTATCTTAATTTTAAGAATTTAGTAAATTAAAAAAGCACCAGATAATTTTGAGACACAAATACCAGCTTAACCACCATTCTTATTTTCAAAGTGACAAGCAGTTTCTTAAAGTTAAAAATACCTCAGTGTCTCACCACTCTGCATTTTTCTCCTAAGGTATTACCAGTGGAATTCAGAGATACTCTGATACCATAGCTTGTTTTATTATTAGCACATAATACTTTATACTTCTGCTACCATAACAGAGTAGTTTGATGATTTAGCATGTGTAACCGTATTTTAATAAGCTGCATAAGTCTTTATGTTTGGTTTCAAGAGACAAGATGAGAAATTTTAAGATAAACCTGAGACATTTTTCTTATTCTTAAGATTGCATTTAAAGATAACTTGGAATCTTTTTGCACTCTGGTGAATCAATTGATGGAAACGATATTGCTTAAATTATTTAGGCTGAACGAGGCAACAGAACACAGTGAAAAAGGTAAAAATCTAAAGAAAAATGTAACTAAAGAAGTAGCTAAATAAGCAGAACAGTATATCTACTGTTTGCAAGCTAACAACAACAAAAAGGTGTACTACCTTGGGCATTGGAAATTCACATGCCCCTGCACAGTAGTAGGCATCAAATGATTTGGGAGATATGATCCATTCATTCCAGCCAATATCAGCAAAGTCAACTTTCATGTATCTTCTTGAGCAAATCCTTGGCTCATTCCATTGTTTTCGCCTTGCTTTCTTCATTGTTTTCTCATCGAAATTTAGCACCTGAGACTTCGTAAGTGTTTCTGTATTTTCTTGCCCTTTCCTCCTTCGGTCTTTGCGTGAGGCTTTTGGTTTCAAGGACTTGTAGGCATTCTCCCATATGTCATGTTTGTTGTATTTATTGCTGTTATAATCTACTTCTGGCAACTCATTGTTCTGAATAGAGCTAGAGAGGTATGTATCCCTCCTCACTCGGGTGTCAGTAGAAGCATTAGGGGATAGATTTGGGTCCCCATCATTGGAAGGGAATGGATCGTAACGCTGTAAGGTGACTGCCACACTGTTAGGTTCAGAGATTGCAAGATCATTGGCATAAACTAGTATATAAGGTAAATGACTGGCAACCTGTTCAGGGAAGCCCTGCTGTTTCTCCCCAGAATCCAGCTCAGCGCAGAGAATGAGCTCTCCAGCCCGTTTTGATTCTTTTATGATGTGTGAAATGTCCTTTGCATGCCAAGCCCCTCGCCTTTGAAGAAACACGGTGATGTTCTCTTTCACTAGTCCATAGGCAGAATTCTGGTGAATACTTTGGAAAATGAGGTTGAGCCGCAGGACCGGAGGCAGGTGAAGAAGGCGGCAGGATGAGTTCTTGGACCGCTTACAAAACACTTCCCTGTGCCGCAGGCGTTTGTCAGCATAGAAGTGAAAAGTGGCAGCAAGAATCATCTCTGAATCCTGCATGGATGTCAGATTGAAGCAGTACAAAGGCTTCTGGGCCAAGAATTCTGCAAGAGAGCAAGGAAAACATGGATAAATAGCTGAGACCAAAAATGGTAGTCAAGCCCTTATTCTCATATAAGTGGATTAGCAAATTTTGCTTTTCACTTACCCATTTCAGATCAGTTAGTATAGCGAACTTGCAACTTCAGCTTAAAACTGAAGGCGAATAAGAGGAAGAAAAACCCCTAACAATACCTAATAGCAATATTACAATAAAATCAGGACTGACCAACACACTGGGCACTTTTTCTATGCATGAGAGATAAAACTCTTCCCAGAGATTTTCAGCTTCAGACTGCCTTTCATTCCAGGCAGGCAAGAAAAGCAATCCTTGCTTCTATTTAACTTATAACAAAGTCAAACTCAGAGAAGCTATCAAATTTGCCTGTGGCAGAGCTCAGAATGGTATCTTACTGAGTATGCTAGCTGAAAACCAGGTTTACTGTTAATATTCAAGATGGTCTAAACTAAAGCTGAATGCAAAGATTCCTGAAAGATCGCTGGGTGTTAACTCTGTGGGCGACAGCATGTGAAGTTCATCATCTGTAAATTGTGCACAAGAGACATTTCACAAGGGGGCTAGAAGTAAGTAGTGTGACGCATTTTGGGGGCTGTTACTGCCCCCCAAAAGTAATCCTCCTTTCCAGTATACACCATGTAGGAGCTTTGTTTAAAGCACTGTGCAAACTACTTGGTTTCTAAGACTTGTGTTTTGATCTGCTTGAAGTTAGTGACAGCTACTGTTGAACAGGAGCTGACTCTTAAAATGCAAACTCCATTTCATACAGCTTCTTTTTAGCTGGTTGAACAATTTGTGCCCAGGTTACATCTGTACCCTCTTCTCAAGGCAGATGAGCAATTTTACACTAGCTGTTTACACCACATTTATTTAAACAGTAGAAACCTTTCTTATTTTGTTAAAATGTAATCCCAGAATCAAAAGGCAATCATGTGAAAAGTTGCTTTTTTTTTTTTTTTTTTTTAGGCAAATGATTGTCCCTTCCTGTTAAGCGTTCTTAGTCTCAAAGACAGTATCACGTCTCTAAGAAACTAAGCTGGCTTGTGCTTTGTAACCGGGCTGTAGATTTGTCGTTGCTCCACATCCTGCTGCAGTAGCAGGAAGTATTACCAATAGCTCAAGCATATATGGGAAAGTGGTGGCAGAACCGAGAAGTGATTCCTGTTGTCCCAAGCTCAGACTGGTACTTAGAATGCATCAAAGGACCACAGTGGGTAAGTTTGCATCTTTATTTAACCCAAGTGGACAAACCCTCTGGCAGCCCTTTTTGACATACCTGGAAATTCTCTGGCAGCAGGGAGGAAAAAAACCCAAAACCAAACAAAAACCAACAAACCAAACAGGCAGTCTTCCCAGAAACACTTAGGTTTCTTTTTCAATGCCCTGTGGATGATGAGCCACAGAAATTTTGGCAAGAGAAAGGCCAAAACTTAACTGCCACCTGTCAGAATGTTCTTCCTTTTAAGCACAGTTTCATTTGAAAGATGGAAATTAATAGTTCTACATCTCACTAAATTGGTGCTTGCTGTGTTCCAGTTCATGCTGGATAGAACCATCATTTGGACTAAACCACAGCAGGTTAGGATGTTCATTAATCCCAGGCCCATATAGACAGTCTGAAAGTACAAGTGTTGAAGTATGCAATTTCCATCTACATAATCTGTATTTTTTTCCTGATGCAGTGAAGGGAAGAGCTTGTACTAATGCCTCATAATGGTTTCACAGGTGGCAGAGAAGCTAACAGAAACAGTATTCTGTGATGAGAACCTATTTGATTCTGTCAGTTCAGGACAGGATTCCTACCAATAAACTTTTAATCAACACTAGTCTTATTCACAGGTGCTTGTAATATAAAAAACTTAAGAGTTTAAATTCTATTCAAGTCTTTGAAACATAGACATGTCACAAGGCTGCTAGCCTATTTTTCAGACCGAGGAAGAGAATAATCATAGTACTTCCTTTGGAACACCAGGCTGTTATTAATGTTTGGTCATTTCAGAAGGCATATATTTTTGAAAAAAGTCTATCCACTGCCTCTCCCCACCTGAGCTGTGTATAGTTGAATTTTAAAATATTTTTTATTATTAGTAGAATGCTCCTAGCACCACCCATTCTATAGACATGGCTATGGAAGCATAAGCATTGCTGGCATAAAGGCATTTCAAACACCAGAGTCCCAGGGTTTCAGATGGGAAGGTAACTTGTAATGATAGCTCAGAGAAAGGGAGGTTTAATTCATCTAAATTAATTCTGCGTTCTAGGTGAAACAGACCCTTCAAAAGTTGAAATTCTTTATAGAACAGAGTAAGAACATGTGAACCTGCAGCTACTGAAAGGCCAGAAGCCTGGAAATATAGGCTTTGTAGGAATTGAGGAGACCTGAGTTTTGGATGGAGTATAGTCATATTTATCGTATTGCATCGGATTGCTCAGGCTTGTACCAACCTGTCAACCAAGCATTGTTGTATTTTCCAAGACTACTCTGAGTTGAACTGTACTAGTTGTATACATTACAGCTGTTAACATTTTACTGATTGTATCTACCTCTGATCACTGTAGACAGCTTCAAGTTAGGAACACAGGCAAGATGTGTGGAGGATACACACAGGGGATTGGTAGAGAAAAGAAAAAAGGCAAGTGGCCAAGGAAAGAAAATATTAGCCTTTAGTTCATAATCCATGTAGGAGAATGTTGCATTGCAGCAAGATTAGCAAAACAGATTTACATGGTTCTGATAACGCATTTGTGAGAAAGAAATACGCAGAGAACTGCATTTAAAGTATTTCAAGCTATGAAATTATGTTAAAGCAAGGCTCTAGAGGCCAGAATTACAGTTCCCTGCATAATCTTGATTTTGTTTTCTTGCACATATGCATTATGATATAGTCTTAATTAAATGGCTGCTGGTTTATACTATTCACCAAGGCCTTTTCTTTGTTTAGCACAGGGGATGGATGGTGTTCAGGGAATACAGCTGAGCTGCAAGAGTCAATTTATGGGGAAGTTTCATGGCTTAGGCAGCAGATTGCTGCCATGAAGGCCAATTCCCCCTAGTCTCAGCAACCTAGGTAAAGTTGGATAATAACTTAAAATTTCACTTTTGGTCACAAACCATTCACAACTTGACTGTGTAACTAACTTCAGTCAATTGGTGCTATTTTCTAAAGCTACACAGTTCCCTGAAAACTGGAAAGCACCTAAAGAAAAAAAGAACTTGAGAACTTAGTTCATAGACTGTCTCTCAGCTCCTTATCAGAGAAATAATGAACTCTTGTGAACACACATAGAGGTGAGCTAAGAGGAGGCAGCAGATGTTTGTGAAGCACTCTTCTTGAAGTGACAAGTACTGCTAGAGGAACATGAAGAAGTTTTATCTGGAACATGCAAAAAAAAAAAAGTAAAAGAGTCCATTGCTTGGAACAATGAAAAGGAAATTACTGTAGGTTTAGTCTATTTTGTTTATCTCAATAGGGTCAGAATTATCATCTGTATTTTATAAAGAACACACCAATTTCTTCTTTCAGAAGAAAACATTAGAATTTCTTGGAGGAGATAAAGAAAAGCATACTGCCAGATAAGGTTCTTCCCCCCTCTCTTTTCCTCTGTTGGCCTATGGTTCATTTCAGACTGTTCATCACTAGGTTGATGAATTACAAAGAAGCACAATTTATTGTCATACTGAAGAAACATTGCAGGGAGCTTCTGCTTTCATGCCATGTTACTGGGGAGAGACGGGATCCAGCAGGGAAGGTACACAGATGGAAGACAGGAGTTTTGGACATAGGCATGCTTTATTTTCATTGCATGGAAAGAAAAGTTACTTCCAAGCACCTCTGCCTTGGTTTCATGATCTGACAGATATGCAAAATAATATTGATTTGTAATTGCTTGGTACAGTCTATCTGTGGGTAGAAAATGCTGCTGTTCTACTGTTTTAAACCAGAATTTAAACCAGAATTTAAATAAACCACTTAGATGCAAGTAACTTGTTCAGCACATTAATTGAAAAACAGAAAAAGAATATAGTGCAATCCTTGCATTCTTCCTGAATCACTCTTGTGGTCCCGGGCCTTGGGCAGCAGTGTCAGCTGCTCAGTTCACAGAAGAATAAGAGGGAGAGCAGGAGGTCATGGAATAACCATCCACAGTGGAAGTTCCTTCCTAATGCCCATTAGTTAGCAGCTGCTAGCTAATGATCTAGAGCATGACGATTTATTTCTCTCCCAAATGTCTGCAGTTGCTTTACATCCGAACGCCTAGATTTCTGGACATTTTCATTGGCCACTTACCTTTCCGTGGGATCTCCTCCTCCTTTAATATGATTACTTTTTAATATTACATTTGACATGGGATAGAAACTAGTTGGGGTGCATTAGACAATATGAGTTAGTGTGCGGTATTATAGTAACCATTCCCTAAAACACTGTATGCTGCATTGTATTCTATACAGGAGACTTAAATGTAGGAGAAATAGGTTGAAACTCATAAAAGCAAATTTTAAATTTAACTATAGAGATGCCTATAAAGAATTACTTTTTCTGGTAATGTATCAAAAATTGTATTCTAGAAACTGATACAATTCTTATTTCAAGAGCTAAGATCTTAGTTATAGTCTGTAAGAGTTAACCAAAGAGGGAAGACATTTTCCAGAAAAGATATTTTGGGTTTCCTTGGCAAAGGATAACAAACGTAGGGAGTATTAACTACGCAAACCTCCCCTTTTATTATTTTGAAGGAAGACTGGGATAAGGAAGGCGCCGTTTCGAGACAGCACATATATATGCTCTTCCACCCTCGTAATCAAGCCAAGTCAGGCCGGGGAGAGGGAGGTCAGACCTCTGTCTTCTCAGGTTTCGGCAGCGCGGATCCCCGGCGGTTTGGGGCGGTCCGTAGGCGGCCCTCTCCCCAGCAGAAGCTTGCGAGCCTGCGAGAAGAGCCGGAGGAGAGGACCTGCGGCTGGCCCGCCCGTCCCCGGGGGCTGGTGCGA